TCGTCTACTCATTCCCGTGATACCAAATTTGGTGCATGTGGAGCTAGCGCAATGGTGGTGAGCGCGTCATGTAGGCGCCAATATACTCCGACGCAACGTTGACGCGCGCGCAGGCAGGGTGCAGTGACGCCACGCTAGCAAAACGTGAGCACTCTATAGTGGGACGCCAGGCGCGATCGGAGCGACCAGTGTCAGTCGGCGCGACCCGGTGGCAACCGGAACGAAATGTGACATGCTGCATTTCGCGCCGACGACGTTACTTAGAGCGCACCGTGTCTGCCAGTTTTTGTGACGGAGGGATGCTGTGTGCACTCAAATGCGCATGCGTCAAAGGAACGCAGCGTGCACGCGCCTGCGAGAATATGGCATGCAGATCCACAATGAAGGTCAGTGGGCAGATCTACTTATCTTTACTAGGGGCATATCAGCGCATGATTATCATGTTTGCACCAGTCACATACCTTCGGCATCCATTCACGTCCCGTAATATCGAAATTGTTTCATGAGAAGCTAGCGAAACGGCCGCGAGCGCATCATCAGCGTGACATGTAGTCGTGTTGTTACATGACACTAATGTGGTGATTTTGATGTTAGGGTCTTTCGCTTGTGCTCATCACGCAGTCATGTAATACCATACCAGTTTTGCAGCATATCATGTGAATGGAACCACCGCAAGATCAGCAAGACGATGACATGCCAATCATGACATTTATGACATACATGTCTCGATTTCCATTTTATGACTAGTCAGCTATGTGCGTCATACAGTCATGTTATATCATACCAAGTTTGGTATCGATACCATTATTCAAACAGCCAGAAGAGCTAACCCCCGTATTCACAAACGCTCCTCGACTCGACTTACACCCTTCGCTTGACATAGTTGAGCACTGCGACACCGCTCGGCTGCAAATGATGCTGCGCTACTCAAGAATCGCAGCAGATTATCGCTGATATGCAGTGGCTTGCCATGCCTAGAGACGGTGCTTCCATCGGCTTTCTCAAGTGAAGGTGAAGCGTTGAGGGAAGAGACGTTCTAGAATACGGGGGTAAAAGTCGTAGGCGGCTAGATAGATAAATAGGTAGATAGATAGATACGCTCAAAGTCACCGAAGTTCGCCAAGAAATGCTCCACATTTCAAAAACAGCGACTGATTGAAACCCTTTTGTATGTTTACACTGAAACCTTCAATTTGGAGCCACAACATCGAATAGAAATTCAGGGCTCTTTCCCTACCTGAAACTTGGGGCAAGCGATACTTTGCGTGTGCCTGCCGGGCCTATTCTTTCTTTCTTTCTTTCTTTCTTTCTTTCTTTCTTTCTTTCTTTCTTTCTTTCTTTCTTTCTTTCTTTCTTTCTTTCTTTCTTTCTTTCTTTCTTTCTTTCTTTCTTTCTTTCTTTCTTTCTTTCTTTCTTTCTTTCTTTTCTTTCTTTCTTTCTTCTTTCTTTCTTTCTTTCTTTCTTTTTTTCTTTCTTTCTTTCTTTCTTTCTTTCTTTCTTTCTTTCTTTCTTTTCTTTCTTTCTCTCTTTCTTTCTAACGCATTGCGCCACCCTCTCTCTAAACCATTTTTTTACACCATGCTTGTAATTGCACTTTCACCAGCTTACTTATCATATCCATGCAGCAAATAAGTGTGGCAATGTAGGAAGACTAGTGACGTCGATAAAAGATCGGATTGCCGTATCACGCATGACTTACTACCGACAAAGTCATGATCAGAAGAACATTAATTACCGCAAAACATTGCACACAGCTGCGAATGGGCCTAGCGTGCTTTTGAAGGGCCACATTTCTGTTGACGGTGCCTTCTCTTCGACGCTGTGGTCGCGGGCGATCGCTGTTACAGAGCTTAGCATCATAATCTAGATCGCTGCCTGGTAGCTGCTTCTGTACAGCTACGGGACGGCTTTCAGCTCTCCCATAGTAGAGTACCGAGTGCTCTAAATCGTTAACCACTTTTTCTAAACACACCTAATCTGGTGAAAGGTGGAGAATGGTCCAGTCATCAACATGTCCGAACTGCTCCCTACGGGAAACTAATCAGCATGTGTTAAGGCAATGTTTCGTTGCTCGTGTTTTCTGGAGGGCTGTGCATGCAGGATTCCGTGGCCTCGGAGGAAACCGCTTTGTTTCTTCTGGACGTTGTTCTCGAGGCCGCTTTGCTTGCCTTCTTATTACCAACTGGTGCCTACTGTCTTTGGCGTAACCGTTGTGAAGCTGTTGCAGCAGGTCGTCGCCGCCGTGCTCTCTTCCTGATTTTGGAGCGACTGTACAAAGAAATACTATCTGTGTTGTCGGAGGAACTCTTGTTTCTGGGTGAGGAGGAATTCCTTCGACACTGGTCCTGCCGTTTTGTGTTCGTCTGTGAGAAACGTGTAAGGCTTGTTTTCAAGCCTGCCTGGTATTGGTAGGTTAATCTTTGTTTAGTACTCATACAAATACCTTGTAAATACTATGTAAATAACTGACATATAGATCTCTACATTTCATTTGTGTGTTCTTCGTTTACCATTTATTGTGAATATGTAGACATGTGTTTGTAACATCCTGTGTAGTGGGTAAGTATGTATGTTGTGTTCCGTTACATATGTAAACATATCTTTTTGTAACAACGTTTGGTGTGTCTGTCGATGTTGTGTTCTGTCACAATGTTCTGTTGGATTGTAATTGATGTTCACTGTCTGTGAGAATAAATTTCTCTAAACACAATCTAGTGACCTTGTATTAGCTGGGTACAATCAGCCCACGGGAAGGCTGTATGCTCTCCCATAGTAGAGTACCGAGTACTCTAAATCGTTAACCACTTTTTCTGAACACACAATCCGGTGCTTGTTTTTTGGCGATACGGCCTCATCAATTGTGAGGCCCATGGGATGGCTTTAAGCTACCCGAACAGATGACGAAGGTAAACGGCACATCCAAAAATGATAATCATGACACTGAAGTCGTGTACGGCATAATTTACCTCTACCTCGTAATGGTGTGGTGATTTGAAAGTGACATATCAACTTTCCTCATTTGTGCTTCACATATCATCGATCCCCACTGTACGTTTTCCTGCTCTGAAGTGTTTTTTTATTGTTTTTGGTTTTCAATGACGTTGTTGAGTTACGAGAGCCATGCGGTCTGCATCGTGGTGTGAGCAAAGCGTAGAGCACGTGGATTGTAGGCCAAGCCCAAAGAGAGTGAGTTCGGAAGTCTTGTAGGTGGTCTGATTTTCTGTAAATAGCTTCTTCTATCTCTTTGGGCTCAGGAAGTCGGGCGTGGTTGTTGTCTTGTTATGCGGATCAATGCCCGGCCATCGTGAAACCATCCGTGACGGTGGACGCCGATCGCTCGGTAAGTTGCTGTGTGCGGCGAGCAATGGAGCCACCTTACAGAGAGGATGTATCCTTGCGGCTGCCTTTTCTGTACCTAGGCTGGGTTCTGCGTGGATGCCGGTCAAGCGACTCATTAAGCCTAAGGCTCTTCGCAGCCGCCTGTCGCACGTGGCACAACTAGGTGTATCATGGCGTCTAGGTGTTGCACTCTGCTTCCCTCACGTTTTAGGGGTGAAACTTCTTAAAGCGGCACCCGTTTGTCCCTCGCAGTAGTTGTAGTTGTAGTCATAGTGTGTAAACAGTCTTACGTCGCGCACGCTGTGAAGTTAACGCGCACGCTGCGAATCACCGAATGCCAGCAGCTCAGAATGCCCCTAGTAATATGGCTTCCGCAGGCGCCGTATTATGGTCAGCATGTCTTCACTCGTGGGCAAGAATTTCCACTCCAGCAATTTTTTTAAACCTCATTGGTCGTAAATCACTTTTTCTAAACAAACATCGTTATCCCCTTTCTAAATACATTGCGCAGTCGAGATGGCTGTCTGCTCTCCCGCATAAGCCACGCACTGCAAATAATTAGCCACTTTTACTAAACACACTTTCAAATTCCTTCGGCACTGGTACTGCTTTTTTGTGTTTGTATCTTAGGGACCGGGGATGCTTGACTCTCGGCCTGCGTGGCTTTGGTAGGTTGACGTGTGTTCAGTACCGGCAGGAATGCTATGTAATTACGGAAATGTACACAGTGTAAAAGAACGAGACACAGAGACAACACCCGTTCCTGGGTGGGCTGTTATATTATTCGACTTCATCTTTCTCTTCCTCTCGCTTGGCTAAAGTACTCGGCTGCCTAACCGCAGGTTGCGGGATCAAATCCCGGTGGCGGCGGCTGTATTTTCAATGGAGGCGGAAATGCTGTAGGCCTATTTGCTCCGATTTTGGTGCACGTTAAAGAACCCCAGGTGGTCGAAATTTCCGGAGCTCTTTACTACGCCTTCTCAAATAATCATTTGATGGTTTCGGGATGGTAAAAACTACATCAATCAATCAATCAATCAATCAATCAATCAATCAATCAATCAATCAATCAATCAATCAGTAAATCAAGCATCTCTTCCTGTCTCTCGCCTAGTTAACGCTGGAGCCCTTGTGGAGCTCCTTGTCTTTATTCAATTCACGTTTTATTAGTGCATTTTGTTTGACATGTAATGCACATCTTTCTGTAAGAATTTTATGAGTCTGTACATGTTTTCTTTGGCTGAGGTGTCATTGATGTGCATTGTCTGTGAGAATAAAATTGCTCGGACACATATGGCTTTTTTACTTATATGTATACTGAGCTTAACTCAACACAATGCCGAAATTGCAAGTGACAAAACTTTCGTTTGAAAACCTACGAATGTCTACTGGCAGCGAAGGCTAATTGAACAGCGCCGACAAAAAGTTTGAAGTGTAAAGAATGTAGCATTCTCCTCTAAGTTCAGTTTCGAACGTCGACTCTAAAGCTGCTGTCAACTCCAGCGCTGAATGTTCAGAATGTGTAACAATTGCAAGGTAACATGCCAATGTATTGATCATATTTTAATTTTTGACTGTAAAAACATGAAAGCTCCAGCAAAACGGCGCTTTCTCACGGCGCTTGTCTTTCACACAGGTGAAATGTTTTCATCTCTATAGCCCTACGCTTGATCGCAAGTCTCCTTATCGTAAATAATACTTTCTGTGTTGCAGTTCTTAAGAAACTCTTCATGGCATTTGCTTGGAATGTTGTCCTTTGCCTCTTCCGTCACCCACAGGAGGCAACCTGCAAAAACAAATTTGGTTTCCGTCAACTGATTAGGCAAATGAATGAATGCGCTTATATAGTGAATACGTGACAAAAGAGATCAGCTGTCGTGTCGTGGTACTTCTTTAAAGTGTACAAGTTTGGCACAGAAGTGACAAGTGCATTATGAAACATTCAAAGCTTTAAAAAAGCTAACAAAAAGCTTTAAAAAGCTTTATAAAAGCTTTTAAAGCTATATAAAAAGCTCTAAAAGCGGTTTTGCACACGTCTACTCTGGCAATCAAGTGAATATGAAAGCTGTGAGTCTTCAGCTTGAAAAATTTTTATTTCAGCGTAAAGTAAGCGTATATTGGCGTTCAACGAAACATGAGGGAGAAACAGCAGGCATGTAGGAGGGCAAATGCGCTCTCGCGTCTCTTTGCACTGAGCCTAAAAATATGCTGTGTAAGCTAACCCTATTACCATTGTTATGAAAAACGATTTAGATATTGGCAGCGTAATGCCAGGATATGGTTTACGTACTTCATTATGGTTTACATCTCTCTATTATTTAGTTCACCATGAAGTAAGAACAGCATGCGCACGTAAGGTATATATAATTTAATTTTCTTAACACAGTATAGCGTTACCAGGACGTTACTTATCCATGCGAGTGAAAGCGACAGCGCGAAAAAAGCTCACTCGGTGAAAAGAAAGCGAAAAATTGCCAAGAAGTAAATAAAATAAAACAAGCTAAAGATGACGCTTCTGAATATGTATGACTGCCTAGGTCATAATGTACCATTGTGAATTCTTCATTTTTAACACGAAAGCGTTTTATTACGGGGTCCACCACCTGACTTTACTTGACCAGAGGAATCGCTTTCCCATTGCCGTCACAAATATGCCTTTGTGAAATGCGTGCTGTCGCCCACCTATGAGCGCAGTCCTTATACTAACTGATCATAAGAAAAAGATCTAGAGGAAGGAGCTCCGTCTCCAGGAAATAACCCACTTTCTCACATTGTAGCCCGAAACGACTCGGCCACAAAGGCTACGTTCCTTGGCGAATTGAAGACGAGCTATCTAAATACACAATTTACCAGTGGTAGTAGGCAGACCTCGGGGGCTCTTGTACCCGTTATGACCAGCAACATGGCGCGAAAAGCTCGAAGGGTGCGCTAAAGATCGTCCCCCACTCGTTGAAATGTGTGCTTCCCCACCTGCACTTTACCCCATAGGGCGTAGTTTATGCTTGAGAAGTACGCAGTAAGTTTTGGGCTGCTTTCTAATGTTTCCGTGACATTGCAAATTGTTGCTATCGCTATTATTGCTTCGCCCATATGACAGAAACAATGCACAATGAACGCTCAAGTAGCCTTGGGAAGACATATTTCACATTTTTGTTATACTGATTCTTTTGAAGGAAGAGTCACCCATGTTTTACTTTATTCTAGCTTGTCGTAATGTCGTGTGAGATGAGCTGTACATAACAAAATGTGGTCTTCAATACCTTCATATTTGTTTAAAAACTCAGTTGTAATATTCAGGCGTGTGTGATCTCCGCAGCGAAAGGAAGGGCCCTCCCAATGATCCTACGGTAGCAGATTTAATTTTGTGTGCGCAAACTTCTTTCATCCTCCCACCATACTATATGGTATCTTTGACTGCATCGCTTCGAATCAATTTTGTTTCTATATTTGACCATTTCTTACCTAACGGTGGAAAGCATTACGTAATTTGCCGAAGTCTATTTATTTTCCTAATGTTGACTAGGGCATGAGCTACTCTTTTGTTGTAGAATTCGCTCACTTCTTTTCCTATATATGCTAATGTTCTGTCTGTCATGTCTTGTTGGAAAGGTTTAAGTGACTCGTCCAGTAAACGTCAGCCACGAAATCTAAGCACTTTGTTAGGACATACTGGCGTCGCTGTGGTAGTCCATAAGCCTATTGAGCCTATTGTAAATGAAAACTAATCACATTTTTTCATATTAAGAATACACTGTGTATGTCGCAAAAGACCATCATTATTGTAAATAAAAGTTTTGCTTGCAGAACAATAACATTATTGACACCCAAGCGGATAATACGTAGAATACTTTCAACACAAGATGTGATACATAGTCTCTTTACTGATAATCTATAACTATTGCCAGCCAAAACTTATGACGTTTGCTCTGTGATTAACGAAAAGACAGGCTGCCCCTACAAAAAAAAAAGAACAAAGGAGCTCCAGTTTAAAATGCAAGGAAAATATCAGAGAAGGTTGTTGAAGATTGCTACACTAATTCAGCGATATTGCTCAGATGCTCTCAGCCTACGGTATACGGCAGACCAATGTACATTATTTCCGGAAGTAGCAAAAACCAACAAGTGCTGGTACAATGCACCATGCAGCCCATCTTATCTTCCCGTTTCGTCACAGTGCGGAAACAGCCATAACGTCAGTCATATACATCTAGAAGAAGATATTGAGTCGTATTCCAGTGGCATCATGTCATTTAAAATAGTTTTCACAAGCATGCTTGGCAACATTTGCGGCAAGGCTACGTTATGTAACAGACGGTAGGAGTACGCTTTCGATGTCAAAGAATATAGAGATTCGTCAGCTACGCAAAAACCACTTCCAAACATAATTTCCTTTAGCCAGGCCCCGTTACGGCCGGGCCAAACGCACTTGTCAACATGCGATCTTCACCTTCTACAAATTACCGCTGGATGTTGATGAGTTGTGGAAATCTGCTTATACTGCACGTGTATTAGAATATCACGCTCTTTTGAAGCTGCATGTAACAAGACAGCCACCAGCGTACGCCATGTATGTAAGCAGTAACACATCTCTTTCTTACGTGGTTTGCTGTTATACGGTATATCCAATACGGCGCAGCTGTGAAAGTCGGCATAGATGGCTCTCGCCTCCAGTTTCTGGTCTTGAGCTGAAAATGTTCACGAAATGCACGGTTAACGTCTCGCCTTTTTTGAATTCTCACCATTTGAAAGAAGAGGCAATCTCAGTAGCCGGAAAGTTCAAACGTTTACTTAAAATACGGAAATCGTCTTTATTATATCAGTGTATGTACTCTAGATCACTTTCTATCATATCAATGTAAAGCCATTTTTTGGTGACTTCTGGGTCGCAATTACTTCTTAAGCTATTTCGCACCCTATACTTGAAGAATAACGTTGTATCGTCAATGATACGATGGAATGGTACACACTCCAGCTAATCTTTTTCATAAGTATTGTCGCTGTTTCATCGTGAGGCCGGCGTGAGGCCTGACAGCAATGAATATTAAATGCCACTTGTTTGGCGTCTTTTTGGACCGGATGGACGCACTGATTACTTCTCTTTTTCTACAGTAGGCACCTCATACTCTTACTGCTGGACGAAATGAATGTCTTTTCTGCCTCTCTTTCTACTGGAAACGTTCCTCTTTTTTTTCACAATGTGAATATCGACAACTGTGCCTTCATTTGTTACGTAATAAGCAGGGGTCTTTTTCGACAGTACACTAATTTATGAATACATGAAGACATCGGCCGTTTTCGCACACGCATTCAAAATCTGGGTAGTAGAACATTGCCGCAGCGAAAGTGCCCATCAAGGAATATGTTTTCAAAAAATCGTTATATGAACCATTCATTTGAGAGGAATTGTGCATATGGTAAAGCTGTCAGGCCTTATAAGTGATGACATATGCATGTTTCTGTAAATAATGATTATTTAAAACGATAGTATCTCTAGGGCTATCGTAGGTCTGTCTATCAGTTGGTCCATCTGTCCAAAGATTCAGCTACCCGGCGAAATTTTAAGCCCTTGCTCAACACCCAAACATGTTCATCTGGTGGCTGCGTTCATACTTGTGAACATTGTGGATAAAAAAAGCAAATACTACGCATATTTGAGGCGCAACATCAATACGTAAGTGTGAGGTAGTCTGTTTCCTTATTTAGAAAATGCGTAGGTACGTAATGCTAAAAATGGCAGTGTTTATTACGCTGCTGTGACGATTCGATGCTATGAACAAAAAAGCGGATGTTTCTTACGCTTTGCTATAACTACATGGTGCTTCCACCTACCAATGACTGTGCGTTCTAAAAAAAACATTTGTTTCTCAACACTGCTGCCATATGGCGCCATATCACAGGTTCCAAAAAAGGAGATCTTTCGATCTCCTTTGCAGTGCAGCACGCAGATACTCGGCCAATTTTTACAACACCAAATTTCCCTGGCGACATCTCATATTACCACGCTTAGCACCGGAAAAGCGGCGGCTGCGTTTGGCTAGCTGATAGACATGCATTTGCTCATCGCCCGTTCCTCTTTTGTACAGTTTTGTGTTGCCCCACCAACGGCAACATTTATTAAGAAATGCTCACGTGGATATAGTAGTGGATGAAATATCTTGGTCGATTCAAATACGATGCAAGTAGCGATGATTCTCGACAAACTAATAAACTGATTTTGAACAAATACCTGGTTTTATCATACATGAATAATTGTCATGTTGCCTTAGACACTACAACACTTACCAACACCAATTACACTGCATAAAAAGCTTGAAAAGCTGTGCGTTCTTCTAAACGTCCCTTACCAAACGCTATTTTGTCATCTATGCTAAAAACTCTATCTGCTACCAGTTCCAGATGTTCACGCAAATATTTTTAAATTACAAAACCAGTATTACGAAAAAGTGCCCTCCTAAAATACCATTTTTAATATGTTGTTGATGCACATACCTACCAAAATAAGGAGCTCTGAAATGTAGGAAGTACTGAGGTCTTGAACACATTATGCCTACGAGATGCTACGTTACAGACCACTATATTATTTAGGCACTAAAAATATCGAACGTTTCATAATGTTAGACAAACTAACATGTATGCACTTGCAAATAATAATGATGCGGTGTGTTTCTTGTGTTAAATAATGTTTGCCCCGCCGCGGTGGTCTAGTGGCTAAGGTACTCGGCTGCTGACCCGCAGGGCGCGGGTTCGAATCCCGGCTGCGGCGGCTGCATTTCCGATGGAGGCGGAAATGTTGTAGGCCCGTGTGCTCAGATTTGGGTGCACGTTAAAGAACCCCAGGTGGTCTAAATTTCCGGAGCCCTCCACTACGGCGTCTCTCATAATCATATAGTGGTTTTGGGACGTTAAACCCCACATATCAATCAATTAAATAGTGTTTGCTCGTGTACAATTCTTATCAAGTTTTGTACTCTGAAATGAAATGTATGGTGCATTGCGTTGTATAAAACTTGTGTATGTAGTGCTAAAACATTTTCTCTCTCTTTTCATTCTCCACCTTTTTCTTCGAGCTTTCCATGGTGTATCGATGACCAGTAGCTTCTTTAAAGATGTACATTCGTGTATTTCCACTCTTCTTTGTGCTACTATCCTGTTATTGATATTTTTACTGTTATGTGAAGAATTTTACTGTTTTTTATTGCTTTGCTGCTGCCTCGAAAATGCGGCCAAGGACCACTTCAAGCCTTGCTAATTATTGTTGTTCATGGTTTTCAAAATAACTCATGGTTATCAAAAGCAGCTGTACGCATATGATGAAATAAAATTTTGATTTGAGGTTTCGGTACTTCTAGCACCCATTTAAATTCCGAGTTTACAAAAAAAAAAAAAGCCTTCAGACCAATTGATGCGGCTGGTTTTCCCCTGCAGCCGGGAATTCAGTCATGTAATATTGTGTTCCTCTAGCACTAGCCACTATTTCACAGATCCAGTAAGTAAGTAGGCATCATCTATGCTATGATATCTCACCATGGTACTTTATCTGATTAAGTACTATATAGGGAAATTTAGTACTATATTCGGAATTCATTCACTATATGCGGAAATTGTTAGAAGTGATGATGATGGTTTTAATATGTTCAATTAAATTGTTATTCGCAGATTTAGTATTTCATTTCATCGCAATATGCACTTTATGAACAATACAAAAAGGAAAACATGCTGGTTGATATTAGCGTGGTGAAGGCTTCCTAAAACTTTGCATATGGTTTTTAAATGTCTGGTACAGGTAAGGCGCAACCTTTATATTAGCCTCATATTCCACTGTATACAGTGTAGTTGAGAGAACAGCAGAATATGTTTTTCGAAATGTTGCCTTAAAAAGTGAATTACTTTGCAAAGATGACGCTCATAAACACGCATGTTCTGTTCAAACTTCATCTTTAAGTAAAAAAGTATAAATCTGCGTTTTCGCAGCTATTTCTTGTAAGCATTTTTCTAATAGTAATTACATGCGTAATCAGTATGAAGGTTCGCCCTCGGTGTGAAGGTTGGTGGGGTCGTGTGCGTAATTAACTACTACAATGACGTCATAAGAACGACACGCCGTTCAATTGTAGAAACCATTTTGGGCAGCCCAAGGGAGATGGTGAGCTTGCTGGAGCATGAGGCGATGTATGGTAAAGCACGCTTGCGTTCGCCGGTGCGCCAATGACACGATGCTTGTTGATTTGGATACTATGCAAATGGACACCGAGCTTATAAACAGAATAAAACTACACCATGTCGTGTGCCCATTCATTCTATTGCTTTACCATTGAAGTCTTTGCTTTTTGGCATAACCATCACCTCTCTTTTGCTTCTCAACTGTGCGTATACTTTTATGTACTGATGGATTCACAGTTAAAGAGAACGCTTTCTCGTGCGCCATGTCTGTATTTTGCTTTCCGGCAAAAAGCATAGTGGCTTAGACTTGCATAGGACTACTGTGGGTTGACTGTTCTGACTTTTTTGAATATACTAGGGCTGTGCGTGAACAATGTTTCTATGTCTACTTGCAGTTATGGGGCCCGCATTATGACAGGTGCTAATCAGAGCGTTCCCTTTAACAGTGGACGGTACTCTACATACTGAGCTCTCTCTTGTTGAGGTATCCAATCATTTGATACCGTGTCAAAGTGAGACCAAAGTGACAGCAGACACTAAGTGGTAGCAGAATGTATGTGTCATATTGTCGCTCAGCAGTTTAGTGCTTCTACAACTGATTGGTTCCAACATGCATTAGGGTGCTGTTTTAAATAGTTACCATTGTCTACGGTGACCACAGCCTTGTCGGGTGTGTCTCCTTTCTCGAAGTGGACGGTGATGTTCTTCCTAAAATTATTGTTCAAGAAAACGTACATATCATGAAATGAATGCAATAGAAAAAGATGCACTTCATTCTTTTTCGCTCACATTGCTCTTTACAAATTAAACGAATTCCTGAAAGGAACGTGTTTAAAATTTGCTTTCCCTTGATTAAAATGTCCGCGTATATATAGTGTAGCCATTTCATTAGGTGATTTTATTGAGGCGTGTACTCTTTCACACGTTTTGTGTGCAAGTACTTCAGCTCCAAACAATTCTGGTCATTTTTTCCACAAATTTTTTTTGTTACTGTAAGAAGTCTCAAAGGGGTCGTGAAACGCTCACTCTAAAGCGACAATGCGAAGCTACCGGCGTCCACACGCACTAACTAGGTGATGTCATCATAAGTAATGCTTTGCCTATCGAGGAACGCGGAACTCTTCGGTACTTGCGAGTGCGTGCAACTGGGACACTCGTCAGCGTCTTTGTCATACGCAATCGGCCCTAACTTGATCTCTGACGTCATATTAAGTAGCATCCTTGAGGAACGCGGATCGCGTATGGCAGTTGCCGATGAGCGCCACTTGCGCGTGCTCGATATGCCATAGAGTTCCGCGTTCCTCGATAGGCAATGCATCCATGCAGGTCCATTCGGGCTGATGATACAGTTAGCGCATGTGGCTGGCGATGGTGCCGCATTGCCGCTGTAAAGCGGCCGTTTCACGACCCCTTTAAGTATAACGATACACATTCAGTACATTCCGTACACATACAGCCCTAGGACGTGCAGTCGGCTGTCACCGATAATATTCCTAATCACAAAGAAGTGAGTATGTACGGAGATAAAAAACATTGGCACGTTTTGAATATGTGCAATTTGCTCCGAAACTGACGTTCTCAATATTCTGAGTATTAGACGCTGAATTCATGTGGCAATGGCTACTATTTTATTTAAATAGCGTCATTATGCTAAGGGCACTTGACAAAAAATACTATCAGTGTCAGTGGTACAGCAAAAATAAACCATCACTCTCAATAAACACCATTCTTGAAAAGGGTTTTTTACACGCAGCATTTCACAAAAAAAAATGTTTACAAAAACATGATTGATCCCTGCATCTTAATCAATATACCACGAAATGAAACGTGTCCTTACAGAAGTGTTTGAATGTTATATGTGCAATGATACAGTAAGGTCACCTACTCAAGGCATGTTAGAATTATTCAACATTACTGCCTGACCAGAGGGGAGCCCAACATGCGTACCACCTTCTCCATTTTCCGGCTATAATTCTTCAGGCGAAGCTGTCGGGCGTTGCAGAGCTGCTTTTTGGTTGGGATGTATGCTTTGAGTGAAGTTGACGCCTGGGGGTAAGGTTGCCATCTGGCTAACCCTTACAGCGTCTACAAAATTGCGTTTTTTTTTTGGAAACGCACCGAATGATACGGACGTGTAAAAATGATCCTTTGAAAACGGGATTAATTTCATGGTCGTGATGTACTTCTTCACTTCCGCGAGATATTTGCAAGAGTTTGGGAGAGGAGAGTGGTAGATATAAAATGCACGTTTGTAAAGGCTGCAAAGTATCTTTCAATTATTTGAAATTCCGCCACTACAGAGCTGACTGATATGACGCAATTTCCCAGTGTCCGAAACCGTGAGAATTCTTTAACGCGACGTGACCGTAACACGTTTTCAGCTCTGTAGCGATGCATTTTTTTCGGTATTGGTAACTTGCCGAAATCACTGTATTGGAGTAAATGTTGTCTAGCGGTTCTATTAGCGTACAATACTCCCAATACATAGTCTACGGTTGTACGACCTTTACGCTACCGAAAAAGTCTGGCAAACCAGGCATGGAGCATATCTTAAGCGTATGGTGTGCTTTTGTTTCGTCTTTTCACTAACGTGTACATATACTCTTGTAAACGTTCATAACCTACATCGGATGGCCGTTGAGTCCTTTAAGAATCCAAACATATTCAGCAGATGGTCCACTCTCATCATAGTTTGTTCGCACTGCCTTCATGCAGTCGAGGTCGCCATCATCGTCGGCATCCAGTAATGCGAGACCGGAGGGGTGTGTCGCAAATACCTGAAAGACAACAGTGATATCAGAATGGTGCGAGATAAAGTACAACCATCAAAATCAATGAGCAAGAACATAGGACGTTGTGCACAGACGAAGACAGTGTACGAAGTCTACTTGCTTTTTTGTGCGAAAACAAAGAGACGTTTACTTATAATTACTTCTGGCAGGGACACGAGCCTATACTGTAACTCGTGATATTTAAACATCGTCATAATAAATTTCAGAGCCTAGAATGGAAACAGTTAGAGATAAGAGTTAACGAAGAGTACCTTAGTAACCTGTGCTTCACCGATGACATTGCATTGCTGAGTAATTCAGGGGACGAATTGCAACTCATGATTACGGAGATAGACAAGAAGAGCAGAAAGGTGGATCTTAAAATTAATCTGCAGAAAACGAAAGTAATGTACAACAACCTCGGAAGAGAGCAGCGCTTCGAGATAGGTAATAGTGCACTTCAAGTTGTAAAAGACTATGTCTACTTAGGGCAGGTAATAGCCGCGGAGCCAAACCACGAGATTGAAGTAACTAGAAGAACAACAATAGGGTGGAGCACATTTGGCAAGCACTCTCAAATTATGACAGGTAGATTGCCACTATCCCTCAAAAGAAAGATATATAACAGCTGTACCTTGCCGGCACTTAGCTACGGAGCAGAAACCTGGAGATTTACAAAGTGGGTTCAGCTTAAATTGAGGACGACGCAGCCAGCAATGGACAGAAAAGTGGTAGGCGTAACTTTAAGAGAGAAGAAGAGAGCAAAATGAATTAGGAAACAAACGGGGGTTAATGATATCATTGTTGAAATCAAGAAGAAGAAATGGACATGGGCCGGGCAAGTAGCGCGTAGACAGGATAACCGCTGGTCTATAAGGGTAACAAACTGGATTCCCAAAGAAGAGAAACGGGTTAGGGGGAGACAGAAGGTTAGGTGGGCAGATGAGATTAAAAAGTTTGCGGGTGTAAATTGGCAGCGGGAAGCACAGGACCGGGTTAACTGGCGGAACATGGGAGAGGCCTTTGTCCTGCAGTAGACGTAGTGAGGCTTATGATGATGATGATAGTAAATTAGGTCAAACAATGTCACAACTCAACGAAGATCATGATGGTTCTCAACTGCTAATTGAGAATGTAGCGTGATGCTTGCTTTGGTGGCATGGATGCTTTGCTTGGTCGGGCTCTTTTAATATTGGCCGCGACGGTCTCCACTAGAGAGGCCAGTGCTGCTGCGATCGTTTTGACGTAATTGATATGAGGCGTGCGCTCGCCTTGATTGCATCGTCCCCCTGGCTGCACCAGTTCTTAGTCGCAATTTTACGATGCAAATTAGATATGAAAGTGCCACCGGGGGCATCGATTCATAGTTTGCTTGCCCTATTACCCGGTCTGACCGCTTCTTTAAGCACTGAGCTTCAAAACAAAGAGAAGAACGCAAGGTGTCCTCAGCAAAAGCGCAGGAAATGCGGTGTTCTAGCAGACAACACAACCCGGCATCTTATGAGTGACATCATCACGTAGGTGGCGCCACGGTACGTCCTCGAGGCCAATAACAGTGGAACATGAACCGCGCACACCGGTTGTGTCACTCGTTGACTACAAGGAAATCGAAAGCACGGGAACCCTTGACTCGCATGAAACGCACTGGACGTTAAAATACGCAATAGTAATTGAAACTAGTATGACGTGCACAGAAGCACGTGATTGGTATAGCCTTTTGTTCCGACCACATCCAGCATAATGCGCACGCATTTCGCGCCCTTGTTCGGCGGTGGGTTGTGATATATATTAGCGGAAAATATTTTGGTCAATGGATGAGTGCCACAACCAATGACACATCCTGTGACCCCTGTTATACGTCGTACGTGGCAGCAAAAGTCAAGTTCTAGAAAGGGGCTATATTAAAAAAAATCACACCATATCCACGGATTGAATGATGCTAAGAGGGGCGAAGCATCCATCAGCCCGTCTGTGCTTCCGTCCATCCGTCCGCGCGACCATCCATGCGTCCGTCCGTCTGTCCATGCGTTCGTTCATGAGTCGATCCATCCATATGTCTGTCTGTCTGTTCATGCGTCCATCTGTACGTTCATCCGTCTGCTAGTCTGTCTGTCCATCCGTCCGTGCGTTCATCTAGTGAACACTCCATGTACCGCGATCTCCAATTTCGCGATCTCCCATCTCGCATGACACATACCAGCTCCAGAGCGGGTATATGCCAGCGGTGGCTGCGTACTACTACATACATACAAGGAATGGACAGACCCACGCCTTAAGGAGCTTCACCCCTAAAAGGAGAAAATTGCGTGTCTACTTCTCATTGTGCTATAAAGTGACTGTGACAGTAGCGACGGGCCTATTGATCCACAAGCCTCACATCTGCTATGCACTGGAAGGATGGCTACCAACCGTTTCTCATTCCCCTCTCGGTCTACCCACTGGTTGCACCCAGTGAAAAAAAAAAAAGATGGCAGCATATCCACGGAGTGAATAATGGAGAGTGGGGCGAAGCATTCGTCCGTCCATTCGTTCTTCCTTCCTTCCGTCCATGCGTTTATCTGTGTGACCATACATGCTTCCATCCACTCATCCGTGCGTGCGTCTGTTCATGCGTCCGTCCCTGCGCTAGTCCACGCATCCGCCCCTGCGTCCGTTCATGCGTCCATCCATGCATCTGTCTGTGTGTCCGTTCGTCCATCTATTCAACACTCCAAGTACCACCATCTCGCATCTTTTCATCATATATTCCCCATATCGAAGCACCACCATCCAGCGGACATTCCAAGGACTAAACCAGAGGTGGCACATGCACACTTTTTTACGGCTTGCGCTTCGTATCTACTTCCCACCTTTAACCACCTCGAATTCATGGTATATATTAGTTCATTGTTTTCCTGGCACTGCGGCTCAACGCTCACTAAACCTTTCTAAAACTAAGGAGGTTACACCCAGCGAGTATTACGTACCAACCCTTTCTTGTCAGATAGTGATCATTGTACACGCCATTGGCTGCTAATGGGGAATGGGAGACAGGTGCATTCGGCTTTTAGTGAACGCGCACGCCGCGAACATTGTATTGTTCAACAAAGCACAGGAGAAATCTCCCACGGGCACCACCTCGCAGGTCAAATTGTAACACTGGTTACACACTACGACTACGACTACGACTACGAGGGACGAACGGATGCCGCTTTAAGGAGCTTCGCCCCTAAAACCGGAAAGCCTTTGAGCATGTCCGATGCGGCTATGCGGCTTTAGAAGGAACAGTCTATTTAAGACTCTAACTTCTGATGCGGATGTTTTAGTATGCTTTGTTCCAAAGTGCGATTGTTCTCCTGAGCGTGAGGAGATCAGTTCCCAATTCACCACCCGCCAGAAAATTACCATTGAATTTTTTGTTGTTGTAATGCGTCTGTTTATGCTGACTTCTACGTTCGCTATCCTCCCTGTACTTCTCATTCACTAAGTTACGGAACACACTGACGCAAGATAGCTGAACCAGAGTTTAAGAGGTACTGTTATATATGCGACGCTGTTTGACAGTCTTGCATGAGAGGTCAGGAATATCTGACAGGCAACATAACAGTGAATATAGGTAGGTGCTGGTGAAGATCCAACCCAAGCTAAAAAGCGCAAGAATAAATTTTATCATTAAAGAACTGGTCAAATTTTACGTAATCAAAGTAGCAACAACGAAATGAAAAAAACTGGAGAAGCCACGGAGCGTTCAATTAAAGGAAAAGTGGCTTGTGTATGTCTAAGTAACAGGAAGACAGCATAGCGTATTGCACCAGACAAACAGTGGTAGCCGATATCTTAGTGAAGACATGAAGAAAGAAAAATATGAACCTGGGTAGCTGACGTCATGAAGACCTTTAACAAACACATGGTTTATTGAGGCGCTGAAATTGTTGCCAGGATATAGCAGGCCCGGCCGATTAAAAAACTAATTCGGCGGGGTGTCTAAAAAAAGAAATTTGTGGTCTCAAGACTGATTTTGCTCGCGCAGGACGTGGTATGTTGAAAATCATTAGGAGGGGTGAAAGTTCTGCATTGACAATAAGATGGGCTTATGATGTTTTCGATGATAAACAGTTTTAAAAAACCCCATGCAATCATGTTTATTTACGTGTCCGAAGTGTTCAAAATGTTCCTCCAACTGATAGTGTTTGACCCGTAAAAGTATGGCAAATCTCTTACTTTTTAAGGGAAACTTCGCTGCTCTAAGCATTTCTGCTTTTTAAATGCCACGTGACCACGCGACACATCTTTTAAAAATAAAACTATGGCAAACACATGACATTTTTTGTATTGCTCGACTTGCGTCGTTTTCGCACGCGGGCATTTCTAGTGTAAAGACTAATTGAAGAGCTAGGCACAGGATTACACAATTGAATTTAATTTACATATTTTCCGTCATTACCTCATTTATATTTGATTATGGAGCGAAGAGTAATAACATAACGTTGGCACCCATAAAACGGATAAATAGTACTACATCCCTGTCTAACCATATGGCAGAACCGTGGCAGCGCGTAGTGTTAGCGCGTGATAAGGGGTACCACTTGCTCTGAACAATAATTCAGGCATCATCCGGTGGCTTTGATTATGAGTCAGCAGCCACAGCTGCAAACATGAGCCAGAAGGCGCTTACACAAGTTGCTGCTACGGCATTTAATTGCATCATTTAGCTTCTACTTGATCTTTGTGCCATATCAAGCTTTTATAGGAACACATGTGGGCTCTTTCAATTGTGTCATCTGACAGGAATTTCGAGAAGCTTTTTAATTAAAGTTGTGGCGTTATTGCCGTATGATTATAAAGTCGAGGCAGGTTACTCGTCACCCATAGGTTCACTGTCATTGAACTCCAGCTGTACGGCCGGAAGTTCCGAAAACAATTTCAAGAAAGGTAATTAGTCTATTGTAGCTGTGAGCTATAATAAATGTTAGTATCACAGATTAAATAAAGTAGACGCTCCAGCAGCGATCACAATTATGTTTCTCATACGAGGACTTGTAAGTTGGTTCTTATGCCCTTCTTTTTTTTTTAGTTGATGTTCGATTGGCGACGCATATGTTCATGTCACACAGTGACACTGTCTAGACTGTTAGCAAAAGCTAGCCCAGAATTGTTGTTTTCGTGGCTTATGACATCTGAAAACTTTCTCGCTTTCGTGTGGAGAGGCGTGGAGGGAGAGTGACGGAATGTTTAGATTCTGCAACGTAATCTAGTTTTATAAAACGCCAAGGCACAGATTTCTACCACTTAGCTTCAGACTAGACATATTTCAGGAAGCGAACAGCAGGCGACTTTGAACCTGAACATTTCTCAACCCAATGTACCTAAATCACATCTACCCTGAGCTATACTCGAATGACTCGTGCGAAGTATGTTCCATGAAGCACGCCCTTCTAAACTAATTTCATCTGAATGCGCACTTATACGGGATAATGAAGTAATCTTTTACGAATAACAGTAGGCACTGAGGAAAGCCGCACTGATTAGCTTCGATCTGGCAGATCATATATGTGCGATCCAGTGAGCTGGATGATGATGAGGTGGCTGGGTGATGGTCTCATTGACATCCCTGGAGCAGTAGAGGCCCAGGCCTTCATTCCCTTGTTTGAGTAAAATTTTTCACCCCCAAAACACTGCCACATGCATGAGTAAACAAAAGTACATAACTCAGCTTTATCAACCCCTCTGAGGAAAGTAGTTACAGGATGCAGCAAAATAACTTCATTACGTGCGAAGAAATTATGATGTGGTGTTCATGCACCGTTTGAAAGGTTATTACCACGTGACTCTAAGCTCCCTGTTTTGGCGTTTTTACAGTGAAAGCTGTTATGAGATGAGAACACGGGTCACGCGTGACGCCATAGCTCTCCGCCACCACCGCCGCCGGTGTCCATAACCAGTATCCAAGAAAAAAAAAACGAGTAATTAAATATCGCCGAACCCACTGTAGGGTCCAAACCCCGGTCTGCTGCGTGTCAGCCCAGTATTCCCGCACTGAGCTACGCCCGTGCTTTGAACTCGTCTCTAAACTGGCCTTAGGCAGGCTTGATATCGGGAAAGGAATCGGGGTAATATGACTAATAAAGCGTTTTAGAACACCAAAGGAACAGCCAGGAGTCACAAAATGAGAATTGCGTAACGAGTGGGTCGTCCAATGCTCTAGCCCATTAGAGAACGCCTTCTTAATCTCTTTTTGACTGTGGCGCATACCCACTTCAGACATATTTCTTCATCGTAGTCAGTCTCAGCATAAAAACTGCACAAAATTTCTAGCAAGTAAGTAGCCGATTCTAGGCTTCTCCGAAGAATGACGAAGGATAGCATTGCGAATGTTGGCCTACTACACAAAATTTCTGATTATTTATGGCGTAGTGGGTACCTAGCAGTGTGCCTGTAGCATCTTGATGATTGATATCTGGGGTTCAATCGTCCCAAAACCACCATATGATTATGAGAGACGGCGTAGTGGAGGGCTCCGGAAATTTTGACCAGCTGGGGTTCTTTTACGTGCACCCAAATCTGCACTGTAGCATCTTAAAGACTGTTTAGAAAAAAACTTCTGAAAGCACGCTCTTCTAGCTTTCGCTGTGACTGTGCTGCGCGTTCCACGCAGGCCTGGCGGTTTTTCTTTTTTTTTTGTCCACAAATTAGTGTCGTTTTCAGTTTCACTGAAGATATGCGAATACTACAAACGCTTGTTAAATAATTATTATTGAATTAACACGCATCGTAGTTGGCCATCAGGCTGATCACTTTCACCAGAACTGGAAGCGGAAGAAGCATCACGATTGAGGGAGACAGTGTGAATAAAAGAGATTGGTAAAAAAAAAAAACCGTTTTTGGAAAGCCATCTCGCAAATTTTCGCAGATCGTTGGCTTAGGTAATGGAACCTGAATACGAGTGAGTGTAATAAGCTTGAGCTGCCAACAGCCACGTACTTGCAGATAAGCTAGTTTCTTTGTCTGGATACGCACCCATGGCAAGCTCAACTCTTGGCGGCGGCTGGCCGCGCACAGCGGGCTAGACCTAAAAGGTTTCTTTTAGCGTCGAGTGGCCATGCATTGCTAATTGCTATCCATTGAGCCAGAACTCAATGGATAACTCGCTTTTGTATCGAATGACGACAAGCCCTGAAGAACACTGCCAGTGGTGACAAAAGCAAGCCGCTGTGACCGTCCGTGGTTGCTTCCTGACAGTCACCGGCTGCAACTCCGAAGCGATATGGAAGATGCTTCTTTACATCGTCGGCACCGGGTGGGCCAGTGGTCAATCAGAGGGCGTTGCCGGGACAGGTTAAACATGCGTCGAATAAATCTTGATTCACAGAATTCAACGCCTGTTGGAGTGAAGTACACCACGAACTCTGTTTTACGTTCCATGCGGCAAACGATATGAAACATCTAGTACGAAGGTGAGCACCGCTACGAAGCATACAGAACAAACGTGCCGCGGTCGGAGCACTGTGAGTACGAGCTCGGTGAAAATTCGTACTGCGAGCCGTCTCGTTTATTGTAATTAAATCACCCTGTAAGAGGCCGCTGGAAGCGGTCGCAACTTTTGGTTCATGTCTAAAATAACAACGACAAAAACTGTACAAGGTATGCATGCTGATTCCAAGTTATCGTTTATGACATAGCCGTGCCTCTCGAAGGATCCTGACGACGCCGCCGGCCAAAAACTGATTGTAAGCGCGGCGAAGCTCTTCGTCGGTGTTCTTGAAGATATGCTGCGACTGTGTTTGTGCATGGCCGCACAATGAAGTATTGAGCGGCCGTGGTTCACGCATTATTACGTGTATATTGAAGTCTGCCGCTTCAGAGATCACGTGTGCGGCCAACATGACGAAGTGCTCTCTCCCTTTTTCTTCTGTGTCCTTGTGTATCCGTGTATACAAATCAAAATGAAAGGAGTGCCAGCAGACAACTGGACGATAAAAAATGTGAGATAACATGGTTCTAGTTATATTAAAGGATCGAAGTTATTATTCATGTAAATATAATTGTCGACTTTATTATTTACTCGTTGCTGTAAATGTTTAAGGTTTAATCACGGACAACGTGTGTATTACAGACGCCCTGATAAAGTCTCGTCGCTGGCAGCAACGGTAGGAATAAAGTATCATTTTTGAAATATTCTTCCGCTTCGCTTAAACATATATACAGTGTTCTATTTTCGATGTATAGGAAGCATACATTTCAAATGGTTAACCTAGGTACTATAGGTCACAGTATTTATTACACTGAAAGCTGCTCTGAGATCACAACTCAGGTCACGCGCAGTTGTCCGCGCCACCGCCACCACTGGTGTCCGTAACCATTTCGCAAAAAATTAGAAAAAAAAACCTTGCACGAAAGGCACAGTGGAGCTCGAAACCCGGGTCTACTGGATGCCAGCCCAGTTTTCTACCACTGAGCTACACCAGTGCATGTGACTTGCTGGCAAGCCAAGTACCAAAGACACAAAGGGGCTTGAGTTCGGGTCCACTTGGTGCCCTCTAGTATTCTACCGTTGAGCTACGCCGGTGCTTGTGACTTGATGGCAAACTTGCCTTAGGCAGGCTTGATCTCGGGAAAGCAATTGCGTTAATACGACTTTTAAAGCGTTTTAAAACAGTGCAGTGAAAGAACAACCAGTTGTCGCACAATGTTAATAGCATAACGAGTGGCCCGTCGAGTGCCCCTACCCACTACAAAAGCTTGTTTTTGTTCACCAAATCACTATGGCGCATACCCACTTCAGCCATAATTCCTCATCGTCGTCAGCCTCTGCATGAGCAATTGGCGAATAACTCTTTGCAAATGTTTAATGGATACCACGCATCTCAGAAGAATGACAAAAAATAACATCGCGAACGCCAGCCTACTACCCAATAGTTTATTTTGAATGCCCTAGTTGGTATCAAGTAAGTGTGCTTGCAGTTGTTACACAATGAGTGTTCTGAAAAAGGCCCTCAAAGGGCTCTCTTCTAGCTTTCGCTGTGACTGTGCTGCGCCTTACGCGCAGGCCTGGCTTTTTTTTTTGTCGACTAGTAGTGCTACAATTAATGCGGCTATGTTAGTAACCAATGGAGAGTGGTATGGTGAAAGGCATCCTCAAAAAAGAAAAAAAAATCATCGATTACGATACGGCCTAGCACGCTTTTGAAGTGACGCTCTGTGAAGGGGAAAGCCAAATGTCTTTAGATGTTTCAGCATTTCGTAATGTGTCGACTATGCTCCAGATCAGTGGTTCTTTATTAAGACTTCTGGCAGGCTACATTACATTGGTTAACGCTATTCTTTGCCCGGCGAATAAGTTTCGAGCACCAGCGGAAATGGGCGCTGAAGAGCTGCAGTATAAAGGAATTGGTGAAACCTGCAAAGAAAAGTAAACACTGATAAAAATTTAGTACTTGCCTTGAATAAGTCGCGGGCATCATTTTGCGTGTTTGGTCCGGGGTCCGCAAAAACGGCTGGTGTCGTAAGTGAAACAGCACCTAGGAACGCTGCGACGATGATGTTCAGTTGCATCATTTCTCTTCGCTCTATTGCCATCTTTTTGTGGTACCACAACCCAGTCTTTTATAGCAGTACGAGTAGCTTCTTTTCAAACGTTTGTTTCACGCAAAATGCCTTAATTTCATTGACTTCATTTTTTTATTGTTGTGGCACTCACAAGATTCATGGCGGGGGATTCACTTGTGATTTGTGATGATTACTTTTGTGCGGAGTAGTGCGAAATCGGAGCAATTGAAAGTACGAGCGCTTCAGCTGTTAATGGTGTTGGGAGTTCGTGTATACACTGCTGTCAAGTACACAACGGAATAGACGCGCGCCATATTTCTCTTACGTTGTGCAATTGTACGCGTCAATTTCGGAGGCGCGTCACGCACACCATTTTTTTTTTTTTGTTGAATGGCATGAGATTGGTGTGCACATTCACGCAGCCTTCCTGAGTGAATAACTAGCTGTCAGGCTTAGAAGCACATATATTGGAGTGAGTTTCTACTGATACAAGTTAGTAGTTAGCAAAGAGAAGTCAGTTTTGCGCACCTAAATGCCAACATGAACTAGCGTTAGCTTAAGTATTTTGTGCTGCGTACTGCTGCAAAAGCGCACTTCGTGTTCGTCGATTGTCAAACGGTACGCGTTCCAGGACCAACAAACTAAGAAAAAGACTATGCATGCATTGCGGGTCTAATATTTTATTCATTTTTAGTAAAGATTAAAGCTGACAGTAGGGATAACAGATATTTAGTTAAAGCTTATTTAACACTACTCATTCGTACGCCGTAATTAATTGAACACAACTGTGGTTCCATGAAAAAGTTTATTTTATGAAAATTTGCTTAAGAAGTCAATTACACCGACATGGAAGCTAGGTAGCGACGAAATTGATTATTATGGGAAGTTGAGCGTTCCTAAACCACCGTATGACTATGAGAGACGCCGTAATGAAGGGCTCCGGAAATTTTGACTACCTGGTTTTTTTTAACGTGTACCCAAATCTGAGCACACGGGCTTGCAGCATTTTCGCCTCCATTGAAAATGCTGACGCCGCCGCCCGTATTATTACTAATAAAGGTGCTGTCGAGTTCATGCGTTATAGTAAATACCCAACAGAAACCAATAAGTGTTACGACATTCTTTTGGAAAGTTGTAACTTACCATAATTAAGTGGTGCTTTCTTCCGATAACCATAGTTCAGCGACACGTGTACAACCCCCCACCCACCCTCACCCAATTTCTATTTTCTTCAGCGTATACCTTGTTGCTTCCGACTCGACCGATTCGCCAAGACAGCCTCTCAATGTACCCAATGCCCTCACCCAGTTTTGCTGCTTCCTTCTCCTCCTTTTTTGTTTAAACTGAGAGAGATGGTACGAAGTATACACACACCAGCGCTAAGCAAATCATTTTTAGTCGTGAAAAGGACAAATCTATTTCGCGAAACGCCAGACCCAGCACTTCTTGCCTTTCTTTTTAATGTAAAAGGGTCATGGTGACCAGTTCAAATATCACTGAAAAAAAAAAATCTTGCTCATTTGTTTCAAGTAAAACGATGTATTTTTCGTCATAGGAGATACAATTTTTTCGTCATAAGAAAACCTACTGAACTCTGTAGAAAGTCATGAAAGTGACATTTCTTAAGAAACAGGTGTGTGAGAGCAACATGTGTTGCATCGGTGCCAAAATTTGTGTAAATGTCTTGAACTATTTTGAAACATTTCTGTATTTGGTAAACCCCATATGTGTCAGAACAATGTTAAAGTACCACAGTGAGCGACTAAGGGACAAAAACTTATTCAGACAGTGAACAAATGAAGGTATCAATGTCACCAACGTTTATTAATTAACTAGTAGAGAGTAATATTGTCGAGAATTACAAGTATGCTCTGCCGTGGTGGTCTAGTAGCTAAAGTACTCGGCCAATGAACTGCGGGTCGCGGAATCAAATCCTGGCTGCGGCGGCCGCATTTGCGATGGAGGCAAAATCGCTGTAGGTCCGTGTGCTCAGATTTGGGTGCACGTTAAAGAACCTGCATGTGGTCGAAGCTTCCGGATCCTTCCACTACGACATCTCTCATAATTATATATTAGTATCGGGACGTCACACCCCAATTATCAATAAAAAATTTCAAGTGCTTCATGCATTCGCCATCACTGTAACGATTTCTCGTGAGATTCCTTCCACAACTAAGCGAAATATTATACTCACAAGGCAGAATGCCCACTTTTGTCGGGAACTGCTGTGTTGTTTTTTCGTTGAGTGCTCTCATACTTCTCAGGTTGGAATAATGATGAAAAATTGTCAACTTGCCTAAAACTGAGTTTTCAACGACACATTTTATTTTCTTTCTACAAAGCAAATTTCAAAACCGTTGTTCTGGTTCTGAAATTGGCATTATAATAAATGTGATTGATATCGGGAATTCTGATGAGCGCAGCACGGAAAGGGTTTTGCACAGCATCAAAACGCAGTCCTGGCATGGCCTTATCAGGGGATGATGATGCAGTTAAGAACCAACAATATACGTGCATGGTAATGATATTGTAGCTATAGTAGTTGCGTAGGCATAGGGGTATACCACATAATGGGAAGAAAACAGCACGAAAGAGAACAGTGATGCTTCAGAGAAACTGACGGAGTTTGATTAGACTCTGTGAAACCTGGGCTAATCTGTTTACTTTTGGTTGTTATACCTTAGCTAGAGGATGCAGGTTCTGGGATGCTTCTAGCTTATTGCTAGTCCTTAGATTAGTGATAATAACTTGTTTATATTTTGATTCTCTGTGCATATAGGTTTTAGCTAATCCACAGAAAGTGGCAGACAAGGCACGGTTCAGCGAATTTCAGCAACAGCAAATAGCACTGAAACCAAGCGTCTACACCCGCCATATTTACGGGCGCAATATGTCGTTGACACAGGCCTTTCGTTGCTTCGGTTTGTTTTCGCAGCCGCTGTTGCCTTGTCCGTTACCTGGTATTCTCTCGTTTTACGTACATGGGATCTTCGGTTTTCCACCATGCCTTGGCAAACATTTGTTGGGCAGTACCTTTTCATTTTTATTCCTTGGGCCAATGGTGAGCCCTCGGAGTTGCACAGAAGGAGATGTTGATGCACGTTGATTTGGGATTTCCACAATTTCTCTGACGTATACCATTTATCATGATGACGTTCTTTTCTAAGCCGTAATATAGCACAAACTCGTCAAGATGAAGATGACTCCCAAAGAAAAATGTTGGGCTAGCTCTTGACTTCATTTTTTTATTGGACAAAAGGTGGGTTGTGGGACTTACTTCGTTTTTGTGGTGTGTATCATCTTTGCTACGTACCCATTTCAGGTGTTGATACTTTGCATTATTACATATTTACATTGCAATTCGATATAATAACATTTCCAATACTTTTCTCGGTATTATTGCCTGTTTGATATCAATAATAATGTGTCAAACACGAGAAAACGAGTCCTTAAGTAAGTATACAGTTTCACACACACACACACAACACACACACACACACGCACACACACACACACACACACACACACACACACACACACACACACACACACACACACACACACACACACACACACACACACACACCACACACACACACACACACACCACACACACACACACCACACACACACACACAATATATATATATATATATATATATATATATATATATATATATATATATATATATAATAGTGTACACACTATGTGGATCATTCATGGCGGAGACGGCGATGGGGCAAATCCACATAACTGGCAATGATATATTGAATGTCTTTCGACGCACGAGAACACTCTCTTTAGTGTTCTCGACACCTGAGCTTTTATTGGAAACAAAACTCTGACATTATACAAACTTTGTGCCACTGCTCCTGTAAAGCAGAGGTTATGCGCTGAAACATACTCCTGATTAGGAGTGTTAGAATCAGTTTTTCCTAAAGAACACTTAGCGATTATCCTCCAATTGACTGCAGGTGTCTTCGTCATATGCCACCACTTCGACTCCGCAGTGCTGTCGAAATTGGTCAACGCATGTCTCAGGAACGTTGCTCTTGGATTCTTCGGTAACCCACAGCATGCACTCTGCAAGGACGTGGTGATGAAGCTAATTAATGCGATAGGAATAAACACACATTCAGTTTTTCAACGTGGATTTCTGGGCTAGATGGTTATGTTCGTCAAAATGTGGCATAGCGTTGAAACACTGCAGGATAAGCCCTGATATTTCACTGTACGTATACTTTCAAATTAACAGTTGAACTAAGTAACAGTATCAGTAGATCCACACACAAAAGGTCAAATCACCACACACGAAAACCTCTCGCGTAAAGAAAAGTCTACTTGATTACAGTCATAACCTCCGACGCTGAGACGACGCTGACGCTGACGAGCACTAAGGAGCGATATCTCGCACATGTTTTCTCCGCCATGGAATGTTTTGAATGAGGGCGTGCAAGCGGCGTGCTTCGAGCAGTGCCAGTACAAGGTACGTACTGCCAAAAAAAAACTGGATATACGCTATTAAAGATTGTCCGAAATTATTTTTTGAAAAAAAAGGCCCCATATCTGCATGTTTCACTGCAAGTATTGCTGAAAGACGATAGTCTTGCGCCTGGAGAGAGTGAAAAAAACGTTTATTTGATGTTCTGTGTGAAAAAAATCGGTGAATATTATTCTGAAGGCACTGCATTAAAGAGTCTAGATTCGTGCAGTGAAGGCGAACAAGCTCATGGAGGCACGTTAGACACGAGCGCTATCTAGCACCCATCTTTGAAAGCAAAGAAAGACGTGTGCGCCGGTCTCGGAGACGATAAGGTGTAGAACGTAAAGCGACGGGCATGTGCCACCACGGCGCCGTCTTAGTAAAGCTTTGGAAACACTTGCCTTTTTGTGTATTGCGTTGCAATGTCAGCGCAGCGTGATAAACGCAATGGTCCTTAAAATTACTTATGTATGCCTTCTATAGTGTAAATCCACACATACAAAACATTGACATGTTTTTATGGTGCCTCAGATTTGCGCAATATTTGCTTTTTGACAATCGCACAAGTATGAACGCTGAAAATTTACAAATGTTGGTAGGTGCTGCAGGTGGAGATGGGCGTTTGGGGTATCACTTGGTGCCGCTTGGTGTACCGTTACGGCGGAAAAACAGACAAATGCACAAAAAGACAGACCAAAATTATTGCGTCGCAGTACTCCAAGAAAGGCTATCGTCTTTAAAGGCAACCTCGCATGGAAGCGACAGATGATCAGGACAAAACGCTGCTTCGCGTTATCGTCTTCTTACCTTCTCTTCCTGCGTATGGGAGTTGCAAGAGAGCGCATGCATGGTAATCTGTGTAGAGCGTCTTCAGAAGGTGCTCCGTTCCGTCAGCTGAAAATCGGAAGAAATTTCATAAAAGGAGTTTTATTGCAGTCAAAGATTATTTCTTTCATGACAAAAATGCATGTGAAATGGTAATTGTTTATGCACGCAGGCACAGTCGTTTAATAGCCGGGGAATATAAAATAATAATCGCAAACCGAAACGGGAAACTTTTGACGCAGCTGTAGACTCTTATCTGCGAAACTTCTGCACCTCGAGATTATTTCACTCGAGCTTGCTTTCGTTATGGGTATAATGACCTACTGTTCAAAAGATGGCTTGCGGCCGCACATGGCGCTGTCCAGAGCCAGGAAGATTATCACCACCATTTTTTTACACTACACGCATGTTGTCGAAGCCTATCACGAGCGTGGCATAAGACTGTCCGGCTTACTGCTTACATCATGATAGAGGTATGTGATAAACAAGTTTTGTTTGGCAAATAACAAGGAGATTTTTGTTTTTAAAATACCTTGTACAGTACGTACCGTTAATGTTGCCGAAAATTAACGCTATAGATTCTAAAGACCGCCGAGTATTGGTTGTTGTGAAAATGAAATTTAATATATGGGTTTAGAACGTTCCCTGCGAGACTTGTGGGCGTCAAGTTTGAGGGAATCACACGAATTATGCTCAAAATAAAAAATGAATAAGTAAATTTGATGGGATGAATAGAAGGGGCAATGTCCGTGATGGAAGTACGTATGTAGAGCCGTGGTGAACACAGCATAAGATAGTTTCATGTTTAAAAATATAAATAAAAATGAAGCCACGACATGCTTCTCACAGTGGCCTTCCTTCGATCCCTGGCTTTTCTGAAGTAACGATGACAAGTGAACATTTCTTAAAGGCAGCATCAGAGGCCTTTGGCTGCCATGGTCGTAAAACCCTCTGAGGCCATAACTGAGTAAACCTATGGTGGAAACTCCGCCTTCCCATTCTTATATAAATAGCAGTAAAGGGCTTCCCACTGCTTCTCTTGTTTGCACGTATACCTTGTTCGCAAACCCTGATTAAGACCGTTAGATTGTATACGAGGGACTATTGGTCAGCTACCAGCTTGTATTAGGTTTACGTGCTGCGTGACGCCAAACAGGCTCAAAAAGAGTGTGCCACACTCACCTTCATGGCTACAGGTGGCACTGACTGACACTCCCACGTTTAAATTCACATATAAACCCAATGGAGTGGCTGAGGGGTGGCCGCCGTGGTAGCTCACTGGTAGAGCATCGAACGCGTTATTCGAAGGTCGCATGTTTGGTTCCTGCTCACGGCAAGCTAGCTTTTCACCCACTTTTCTTTCTTCATATTTACATTACAATCGGTCTAATAACTTGCCCCATACATCCCTATCGGAAAAATTGCCATGGTGGATACTGGAAAACATGGTGGGCGTAGTGGAAATAATAGTGGGCATGGTGGAAATTATGGTGGCTATGGTGGGACGCAGTGGAAAATATGGTGGTTATGCCGGGACATACTGGGTGGTATGGTGTACAGATGATGGGTAAAGTGGAAATGATGGTGGAAAGCAGAGGCTAGATAGTGGGCAATAATGGGACACTCTGCCCACCATTGCGATAATGCTGGGAAGCCCTAAGCATATGGTGGGTGGTGCTTATTATGGCGGGCTACATGGTGTACCAAGCTGAGAAACTCTTCCCACCATTGGGATAATGCTAGGAAGCACTAAGCAGATGATGGGTGCTGCTTGTTATGGTGGGCCACATGGTGTACCAAGCTGAGAAGCTCTGCCCACCATCGCGATAAAGCTGGGAAGCAGTAAGCAGATGATGGGTGGGCTTATAATGGCGGGCAATTTATATAGTGTACCAAGCTAGGATCTGTACACTACATGTTCTACCACCATGATTTCCACCAAAGGTTAGGCCTACTGACCGAGCCCGTACAATTGTGTTTTCCGTGCTTCCGGGTTTCAGAATACACGATTACGAAGATTAAGTATGACAATACAGCGCAGCCATATGGCATCAATTAACCTAAATGAAGCATTTTTGATTGTGTGTGGTGTCCGCTCAAGAAGCAACAAACATCTATTCGACGCGATTAAAGCACTCCCAGAGAACGTAATTAAGTGTCTTCTCACCGACAGCCGCTGGTCGCACTCGCCCGCACTTCTCTAGCTCTTGTACGAAAACTGAGACGTGGCGATTCGTGTGCTTGGTGAACCAATATGATAGCGTAATGCTTCCGGCACACTGCATTCGTTTTGGCCAAGCCGTTATGTAGTTGTTGCTTTAGCGAAAGAGCTACAGCATTGCGCTGGCACGACCGCCCTCTACATTGCGCGAAAAGAATCCCAATACTCAATCAAATAAATTAGGCGGGCGTATCTATGAAATGAGCCTAGAAGCGTCATAAAGCGTGAGCAGATGTCGCCCTTTAGAACGAGCGCGAAACGGATATTAAACTTAGCAGACACTGCCGGTAAACTGTTGCTGCTCCCCAGTCCACTTGATTTTTTTTTCTTGAAGTTGTGAATTGTAAAAAGAATAGCACTAGTGCCATTAACATAGTGGCAATCATTACAGGCCGCAGTTGCTTGTGTTTAATAAATGTGCAATTTTTCGTAGCAGGTGTAGATCTTGTCTTTGTTGTGTACACAACAAACATAACTTAAGTTGAGCCTTAAGTTTGTATGCCAACTAAGCATTTAACACACATGTACCGTCATGTTGGTGTGGCGCAGTGGTTAGCGTCTGCAATTGGGAATCCGCAGGTTGCACGTTCGATCCTCCGTGGCGCCTTGTTTTTTTTTTTACGGGACGGGTGTTTTTTTACCGTTTTTATAGAATTCTTTTTTATTTTTTGTGGCAGCTCGTCACGGTGATTCTGACGTCATTTCGCGCTCAAGTGTGGCCGGCACTGCAGCACCCACCATACCCACCATGCGCCATGGTGGGCGTTTCCCACCATTCACCCACTACATTAATCCACTATAATGGTGGGTGGTGGTTTCCACCATGCCCACCATTCGTTTTTTTCCGATAGGGATTCCTTGGCATTATTGTCTGTTGAATCTCTATATTAAAAAACACGGAAAGACGAGCCCTCAGCTATATATATATATATACAACGTGTAGGCCTTGCGCCCAGCCTTCGTCATTTTTCATGTAACTTTGTTGAGTTAGATTATAATGGCACGTTCGGTACTTACTGTCATCCAGTGTGAATATGGCCTGATCGGGCGTGGGTCCCGGCTTGAAATGAAATGTGATCTCCCTTCTGAAATCAAAGTTACCAAATTTGCAAGAGTTGAATTTGGCCTTGTTGACGGTGTTTAGTTCAGAAAGTTTATACAAAGAAAGCAAAAAGGTAAGTACGCTAGGGTGACCATTCAAAGGTTGTTGTATGTCGAGGCTCTTGAGTGTGTCTCATTGGAATAGACGTTAAAATTTCATGCACTAGGATAGCGGAAAGTTACATACACCTTCTAGATAAATGCAGCATCCGCTGCCGGATATACCAAAAACAGGGAACTTGTCACCATGAAAGGTAAATTTGTTTAAAGAAGCTAGGCTGCATCAGTGAAACCTGACGTCATATAAAAAGGATAAGACATAGCTTTGTCGGAGAACAAATCGAAATTGAGGAAGTAATACTTCATGTGAGCAGCCCACCATCAAAACAATCCTACATATTGACAAGAACGTGCAACTGTCTTGCTCGATTACACAGTTTTATGACATCTGTGGTATACGTTCGTCATTTCCGCGGAAGCACTGAAATAAAACATTGCACCTTATTCTTTTTCCAGGTTTCATCAACTTGTACGTAGACACAAAACTTAACGCCGTGTAATGAACTTTCTAACTTCCCTGCAATAGGCACCCTTGCTAAGCCATGGATGAACTGGAGAGAGAGAGAAAGAGAGAAACATGTATTGAAAAAACAAAAGAGAGGTGCAGCTTTTTTGAGGCTCCATAGTGGGTGGAATCCTTATTCTGGGACCCTATTGGTGACACTCACTAGCCTAGCCCTCTAGACCTGGGTTCTTTTGGCCTGAAGGTCCGAGCAACCCAACAGGATGACCTCCCACTGCTCCAGAGTTGGGTAAAGGTTGGAGGGAAGGGCTGAGTGAAGCGGGCAAGCCCAAATGGTGTGGTAGGTGTACGCTACCTGCCCACAGCAGTGACAGTTGCCAGTGAAGAAGAAATGGAATTGTCACATGATTTCTGAGCAAATTGAAGTATTGGTGAAAAGACTCATCAATATGCGTTCGTTTGGCTTCCCCAGCCCCTTTGCAGGAGGTGGGTATTGACGATGCTGATTCCAGTGAAAGGTCTTAATATTTCTGAATATCAGCAGTTAGCCACTTTTGGGTTGAAGGTACTCAGGATCTAAGCGGGACACCCGGTGAACCAGGGCTCGGGATGCCGTGTTCGCGGCTTCATTCCTCATTAAGGTTCTGGTGTCCTGGAGTCTAGACTAGGCAACGAGGGATAGGGTCGATTGTCCGGTTGCTAAGGTCTGCAAATTCTTTCCGCATGTGTGGGATCCAACCAGCTTCATATTCGACATGCCCCCCGAAAATCTGATAGAATACATTGAGATCGATGGTCAGAGGCAGCTAGGGCAATAGCTACCTCTTCCGCTTGTGTTGTGCTAGGAGCTTTGAAAGTCAGTCTGTATACTTCCTTTTCTTCGTGAATTATCTGGTTGCAACAACGCCCCGAGGTCAAGTCCTGCCATATCCACGTAAAAGACTCCGTGTTTATTACCATAGTGATGTTGCATGGAGACTGCCCTCGCCTGGTAACGACCACTATGGTTTTCCTATCCATGTTTGTGGGGAGGGGTCGAACTCAGATAGCACGTCTACAGAGTTCGGGCACTCGGACACCCTCCTGAGTGTGAAAGTCGTGTTTCAAGAGAAGCCGGTACAGCAGATGGCACCCCGACTTTGCCTGTGTTATACGCGTGTTTTGCTTCGTGAGGTGTGCTTTCTTAAGCTCCTGAAAGGTGTTCAATATTCCCAGCGTGAGAAGTCTCGTGTTAGAAGTTGCAACAGGTAGGCCAATAGCCCTCTTAATCCCTTCGCAGATGATTTCTCCGACTTTCTCTGCATCATGCTTTCACAAGTAGAGATAGGAGAATCGAGAATAGAATATGGCTGATTACGAAGGCATGAGCTAGCCACACTGCATGCTAGCTTCGTAACACACCTTTCTTGTTGGAGATGCGTCGGACCATTCGGCCCGCTCGGTCACCAACCTTGCGAAGCTTTTGTAGTGTTGTGGCAAGTCTCCTTTGATTGTGGATGGCGAGGTCTAGAATTCAAATCTCTTCTGCCTTGTGTATGGGGCCACTAGCAAATGAGAGGCGCGCGGCCATTCCATTTTAGGGCCTTTGAAATACGCGGTTTGCACTGTCTGCAGCTCATATGCATGGTGTCGCTGTGACTTTGCTGCTCCTAAAGTTCCTGTGTATTCTGTACCTGCAGGTAGCAGAGTTGCGCGTTGGTCTCGCTAGCAACCACAGCTACGTGGTGACGTCGCACTCCGTTTTTGCAGGTGACATTCCCACCATGTGGCCGATTAACGTGTCCGGCATGGTCGAAGAACACCGATAAACTTTGACCGTCGAAGACTTTACTGTTAATTCAGTTCACTCCAACGGTCGCGTCGAGAGATACGAAAATTGGCACTCAGCTTCCGCGTAAGGCATGATTGCTAGCGATGTTTGGAAAAAAGATTCGCAAATCTGCTAACTAACGGTAGCATATACAAGTAGCCGTTGCGTTCGCCATTTCCATGCAGGGAATGTTAGGTGTGCCTGCACTTGTCTTTAAATTTCTATGTGATTTGTATCGTTTTAACCGTAAGTAACAAGACGACAAGCATAGGGAGCTGCATAGGGGCCGAATGGTCTGACGCATCTCCAACAAGAAAGGTGTGTTACGAAGCTAGCATGCAGTGTGGCTAGCTCATGCCTTCGTAATCAGCCATATTCTATTCTCGATTCTCCTATCTCTACTTGTGGAAGCATGATGCAGAGAAAGTCGGAGAAATCCTCTGCGAAGTTATTAAGAGGGCTATTGCATTTACGTTGAGGGAGCTGCATTGTGCTATAGCATCATGTCGTCAAAAATCGGCCTCTGGACCGGACGGCATTACGTACAATATGCTAAAGAACCTTAGGCCCACAGACACAACTATTCTCTTAGATATTTACAATAATCTATGGACGCAAGAAATAGTACCCGAGTCTCGGAAGTCTGCTCGCATCATTCCGATCTTAAAACCGGCTAAGACACCCTTGAACCTTGAATCCTTCCATCCAATCAGTCTGACAAGCTGTTTATGTAAGGTAATGGAAAAAATGATTGATGCGCGACTTCAATGGTGGTGCAACAGAACTGGTGTATTCTCCAACTACTTGACAGGTTTTAGGAAACAGAGATGCACAATGGATGCAATACTGGACTTAGTAACGTATGTGGAGCATGAACGCGCCTGTGGTAGTTTGACGGTCGCAGTGTTCTTGGACATCAAAAGGGCATTAGACACAGTCAGTCACACTCATGTTCTGCTGAGTATGTTGGAACACGGACTGTCCGGCAGGTCTTTGCGGTGGGTATCCAAATTTTTATCAGGTCGTAAAATATTCATTCAGACGAGCGAAGGAAAAAGTGCAGAACACAACGTAAGACAGGGAGTGCCACAAGGAAGCGCACTCAGCCCTCTTCGTTTCAACTGTGTTATGGCTGATTTAGCTAAAAGACTGCCTTCCAGGTTGAAATACTTCTTATATGCAGATGATGTGTGCATTTGGGCATCTGGCACGGACATACGGTTAATTCAGATTGCATTGCAAGACGGAATAAATATTATCAACAACTTTTTTAAAAAAAGAGGAATGATTCTATCGCACGCAAAGACAGCTGTATTGCCCTTCACCCGTAAGAAGTTAAAGAACTTCAATCTCAATTTAGAAGAAGAACCACTAATGATTGTGACACAGCATCGGTTTCTCGGAGTAATACTTGATAGGCAGCTATCATGGGCACCTCACATAAAGAAACTCGAAAACGAGGTGAATACGCTAGTGAATATACTCCGCAGAATTGCTGGGACATCATGGGGCGGATCTGTATCATCCATGCTCGCTGTTCACAATGATTTAATACGACAAAATGTTGCATATTCTGCAGCAGTGTTACACGGCCTTTCCCGCACTTCAGAGGAGCGACTTCAAAGACTATTAGCTAGGGGACTGCGCGTCTGCATAGGTGTTCCACGAGCGACTTCCAGCAGCCTTGTCATAGCAGAGACTCGACAACCACCCTTTCCAGTCATGAGAACAATTGAAACATGCCGCCATTTTTTTTCGCTTACAGACGCAACAGAGGGACCACCCATTGGCACTGAAGATTTTACTAAGAGATAAAAGCAATGCTCATAACGATGTACAGAGTAATGTACATATATTACCCAGACATGAATTTTGGAGCTCTGAAATGGACTATCCTCCATGGCTGCTTGTTATACCAAGCATTTAATTCTCAGTGGATGGCATTATCAGAAAGAAAGACATGTTCATCCAAGCTGCTCAACAACTAGCGCTTTATCAGATACATATGCGGTATCCAGGGTACATACATGTTTACACAGATGGCTCAAGTACTACAACGTCTTCAACATCGGCATTTATCATACCACATCTCAATATTCAGGAATCATTTAAATTATGCCGCATTACGTCATCTACTACATCTGAGCTCTTCGCTATTCTGTATGCTCTAAAGTTTATAAACTTGGTAGCAGACGCTAGAAAATGGGTACTTTTCAGTGACTCACAGGCCGCATTAAGATCACTCTCCAGTACAAACTGGACAGTAATAAGTGATAGTATGACATACGAAACGCTGAAGGAGCTCACTAAAGCAAAGAAGGCGCAACATGAGATCAAATTCCAGTGGATACCTGGCCACTGCAACATTCCTGGAAACACAGCTGCCGATGAAGCAGCACGACAAGCACATCGTAAAGACGTTACTGTTTTTTTTACCAATTTCGAAAAATGAATTGCGTAGTATTATAAAGAATACAACTTTCATAATGAGCAAAACTGCTTGGTTTGACCAAAGTACAAAGAGCTGCGATTTATATCACATCGATCTATTTATTGAATTCAAAATTACGCTGGCATTAGATAGAAGGATGGAAACTCTAATTCACCAATTGAGGCTAGGCACCGCATACACAAAACATTTTTTGCACAGAATCGGCAGAGCTGAAACTCCCGAATGCGATTGTGGATTTATAGAGGAAGATGTCTGTCACCTTCTCATAGACTGTCCACATCGTGACACGCCGAGACGCCGTCTTGAAAGCGAACTGTTCGCATTGGACCACAGACCATTTAGCATGAAAAATTTTCTGGGCCCGTGGCCAACTGGAGTTTTACTGTCCCACGCTTTAAAAGCATTAACATGTTTTTTTACAAGACAGCGGGATTGCTGACAAGTATTAACAAAGAACAAGCTTTCATTTGTAACACATGTACTTATTATGTACAGTATCATGTGACACCCATAACGTGTGGGTTGTGAAATGAATGACGTGTCGACTATTATGTACATACGAGCGAATGCATCTTTATAAGGACTAGACGTGTGCTTTGCTGTTTTGTGCTGGTGGACCGAATATTAACAAGGGACATTTCCAGAGACTTCTGACATTGACTTTCGAACACTTACTTACCATTGTGATATGTGCGTATAAGTGTGTCTTTGCATATCTGTGCCTGAGTTTTCTATTTTCCATGCACTGATTTGTATGTTTTGCTTCAAGATACGTGTTCAAGTTTCAATCAACGGCTAAGGAGTAGCCGGCGCCATAATGGTGCGCCAACATCTCTTTATATATTATATCAATAAAAAAAAACGACAAGCATAAGTTCGCGTCATGGCTTTGAAATTGAATGCAGAAACATGCGTTCGCATAACACAGGCATTCCAAACACTAATACGATGATGCTGTACATTTGGAGGCAACAAACTTTTATTTGCAATAAAGGGCATATATTAACCACGCCCCTCGTCTTGCGGCGAATATATGCGTTTAGACAAGTTTTCTTGGGCGTTCATAAACACTGGAATTAGAAGCACGAAAACGATGGTGCAGTACTGATGGGAAGCTGTTCGCGATCATTGCCCACATAGCGTGTCCATTTTCGTAGGATAATTTTTGTCGACACGGCATCATGAAGTGTGAGGCACACGGGACGGCTTTACGCTCTCCCATAGTAGAGTACCGGGTACTCAAAATTGTAAACCACTTATTTAAAACCAAAACTTTTATTTACATTAAAAACCTATATTACCCTGGCCCCTCCTCTTGAGGGCGAATATATGCGTTGAGAGAAAATTTCTTGGGCGTTCATTAAGTCAATCACAAAAAAGGAAATGGAAGAGGGCGCAGCTACCAACTCATTCACTTGCAGAAAAAGATGCAAATATTCTGCTCACCGCATCAGCAAAAAACAAGTTCGCATCAATGGTGGTCAGATAACACAAGATTTTTTGCAAGTTTATGCAATGATACAGATGTTTACGTAATACTACGCATGCCACTTTTTCTGCCAATACAAAGCGCTTTCATCTATGCTCTGGATGTTTGCTTTTTTTAACTGGTGACTGCGATGGCGCATACGGCATATCGTCTCATGCCTTTTCTCTGCATGTGCAGCTATCTCGGCCAGCTGTAAACATTCCCCCGTGGTAAGCAAGCCTGATTGCCCTGATCAGCGCCTTCTCGTAAGCTATAATCAGGTGTCGTGGGCATCGTTGGCGTGCTGCATGTTCACCAGGTGTCATCAACATTCATCAACATCACCGAGACTTCAGTAGTGGCAGCGATGGCGCATCCGGCATATTATCTGACGCATTTTCTCAGCGTACGCAGGTTAGTTTCGTAAAACTTTACGCACAATTTCAGTCGTTCGCTGTCGTTGCCATCACGATTTTGTTTCCCTGTATTTTTGTTTTCATAGTTGTTTGGTTGCCGTTTTACTTCCGAAATGCCACCAAACTCGGAACTTGCGAAGTGAATACTTGAGGGTAAATTAGAAAGTAAAAGCAGCAAATTCACTGAAACATTCTGAGTAAATTTTTGTTAAAGCTTCAGTAGGCTGGTCTTGATGCTGTAGAGCTGAACAAACAAGGTAAAAACTAGGAAACAAGTATGAGTGCTTCCAATGGCATCAATAAAATCTGCGTGATGAAAAGCCGAACCTTATAACAGATACCGAAAAACTCATGCCAGAGAACAAAGCTCTGTCGGGAAGGGTCGCTGAGCTCAATTATTACTCCTCAATGAACATAGTTGAAGTCAGAGCGTTCCCTGCACCTAAGGGGAGAACTGCATCGAAGTCATGCAAACCATTGGCACTAAAATTAGTGCCTGGTAATGGCGACTGATTTCGATGTCAGACGCCGAGACTCCAATAAAGTTGAAGACAAGAAAATATTGTACCAGGGTTCTGTTTGTTAGCAAAAAAGTATGAATTTGTCAGTAAGGCACAAAAAGCTAAACTTCACCTAAGTGACATGGGCACTCTTCTCGAAGGAACTGGCTTTGAAAAAAAACAACAACACAAATGGCAGTTTTTGTGGATAAGCAACGACCGAATCAAAGTTAAAACGCTTAGAAAACCAAAGTGGACCGAATAGCCGAGGAAGTGGACGTCACGAAAAGTAAGTAATCTCATTTAGGTTTGCGTCTGATTTATTCCCATCCTTCCATCATGGCTTCATATTACGCAACGAGCGAGTTAAACGACTTTATTTCAGAGTAATTGCTCTGTTATTTGTTTCAATGCGCAAAGCCACCGTGGACATTATGATGAATTTCATAGTTTGCTTTTGATTTTTACCCTTTCCTATCCTTCCTTTTACTTTTTCAATCATTGACGTCTCAAAAACCTGGCTTAGCTACGTTGAGTAGAACTTGTACTGACTCCCCTCCTACAAATCTGAATTTACCTACTATTTCTTAGGTAATCATAGTGGAGCTGATATCAACATCTTGCCTGATAAACCGTACAGACGTACACACGACCTGACGCGAAATATCCAGAATTGTGAATCAGTTTGGTTGGAACTTTATAACAACTTTCTGGACATATACAACAGAAATTTCGTTTTGAACGTGACGCCAATAATGCTCATAAAGAGTGTTACACACTCGCCGCCATGGCTACTGGTAGAGCTGACTTACACTCCCACGTTGAATTCACATATATACCCAATAAAGTGACTGGAGGGCATGGCTGATGACGTAGCTCAGTTGGCAGAGCATCGAACGCGTTACTCGAAGGTCGCAGGCTTGGTTCCTGCTTATGGCAAGTCATTTTTTCGCCCACTCTTCTTTCTTCGTATTTATATTACCGTTCTATCTATAGATAATAACTTCTTCTATACTTTGCTTGGCATTATTGTCTGTTGGATATCAGTAATATTGTGTCAGACATGAAAAAATGGAGCCCTTAGGTATACACTTGTTTGCTTAGTATATATATATATATATATATATATATATATATATATATATATAATATATATATATATATATATATATATATATATATATATATATATATATATATATATATATATTCTAAATTCTAGTAAATCTATGTGCGGGGCCCGTCTTCGTTTCCAAGTGAATGTGTTTGACCAGATTATTATCGCTATAGACAGATATTAAACAATTTTACGCATACTTTTCTTTGCCATTAAGGCCTTTCAGTTGCCACACGTACGTGGCGCTGGGCGCGTCTTTGTCGAATTCCGTTCGCCTCGCGGTCAAGCAGTCAAGGTCTCCGTCCTGGTCAACGTCGAGCATTGCGATGCCGTACTCATGCTGCTCAAAGATCTGCAGTTTTAATAAAGGTGGGTAATCAATATTTCATTAGTTAGAGCGCTTCGTATACTCCATACAATGCTGCCGCAGCTGCTGCTGCTCTTCAGGGGTTCTTCGTAATTTTCGCTATGTGGAGCAAACATTGACAAGTTGACGCTCAGCATGTCTTATCACCAGTTAGATGTAATTTTAGTGAAGCATTTTACGTACTATAAAAGCTGTATCCTTTATAGCGAAGACGATGAAGTATCTCTGCGGTGAATTCTGGACGAATGGCCCTGAATTCCAAGCACGAATGGTCCAGAATTGCCTTGGGCAGATTATCAGTTTCACCAAATTGTAAAAGCAACATTTGGGGGAGTTAGACATTGCGTGGCTGTATAAGAAGTGAAGCTATCAGTGAATTGAATAATTATGTAACCTTGCATAACTCTGAAAAACGCGGATATAGGGAATCACAGCAGCTGCAAAGAGCAAAGCACCCACTACGTCATTATTAATTATCCATTGATATAAGCAAGGTAGCTGCTACACCTCTTTACATTATGCGCACTTTTTATGCGGTGTAGATGACGATGACAAGTTATGGCTGTATAGTCATTGTATTGTGGTGTAAGCCCTAAAGGACCATATAATTAGTAAGTTCACATTGTGTGACGCCCAGTCGTTATTTCATGCTCCGACTTCACTATACTTCATATGGTGACGTGACTCTTGTGCAACTAAGTACATCATTGTTTTGACATGTAAAATACATAAATACATCGTAGTTTTGACACGTAAAATTATAATACGTAACATTGATATATACGCTCAATACGCCTGATCGGCTTGGGCAGTTTGTTTCAGCAGCCATGAGCAATAGGAGTCTCTCTTTTCCGACAAGAGCGACTATCACACTGACTTCAGAGAAAGTGCGTTTGCTGCTTCGATGCTACAAAAGTTGTCGAAGTATACGTTATTTCAGCTTGTGAGTGTACGCCATTTTGCAGGTTTGTAATTTTAAGGTAGCAACACACACGCATGACGCCTTCACTATGTTTCCTTATACCTTATGAATCCATGAACTGGTGGCACTATGTCGAACGCATTCACCATTTTATTGTATTGCTTCCGAGAACAGTGCAATCGAAATCAACCTATATTGCTAAAGCCGCCTTACGGCGCTAGTTCAGTGCTGAAAACTCGAAAACGAAACGAACAGTTTGTCTTACTGCTGGCAAGCAGCGCTATACGTACCTTGAAGGTATTTAGGACTTCGTCTGTTGACAATTCTAATGCTTGAGCGTGAGCACAAGCTAGGGCTAACATTACAGTGCAAATCTTCAGGAGGGCTTTCGAACGAACGGGAATCATCCTTAAGCTGTAATTGGTGCAGCTAAAATGAGCACACTGCAGCACTTTTCATAATAATGCCCAGGTATATGTCTCCTATGTCTCTTTGCTCTTTCACATTTGTCACCTGCCATAAAATATATCACACGTGGCCCAGATATGAAATGATTTCGACGTATTGTTTGCCCTCTGAATGTCACGTTTCTATTGTGGTCATGTACTGCGCGACAATTTATCATGCTTCAATGTTCATACCTGTCTTTTTATAAGGCGAGGCATGGGTCGTTTTTTTTCGAAAGCGTAATATACTCATCTGACAATCGCGGCCAACTCATGTAGTTGCACGTAGAAATGGGAATGTTTTCTTTTTGAGAATCATCCTCCGTAATAGGTGTTGCAACAATTATGTCCAAAAATTTTGATGAATCAGAAAAAATTCAATTATTGCTTCCATTCTTCATACTAGCGCTTTGTTTATAGTGGCAAACATGTTAATATTGCTAGATACAGCAATTAAGCCACAAATTTAAACAAAAATGAATTGTTTCTGTATACATTTCTCCTCCGAATAGCGTCGGCCTTCATAAAGGTGCCGTGGTTTTGGCAAGTAAAATACCAATGTATACTAATATTGCACTCGCTTTGACTGCCAAGGCCCGCACACCAAGTTAACATCAGCGCCTAATATCTGAATTCTCAATGGATATTTTAATGCTTATTATATATACGCGATAGGGTAGCGTGAAGATCCAATCTAGGAAAAGTCTGCCATTGATCGTGACACGGCACAATCTGCGCCTGTGTCACGATCACAAAATTGGCAGCCCGGCATATCTGCGCGGAGCCCCAGCAGCAGCTGCTTGGACTTTACCATTGTCTCTTGGCCATCTGGAAAGAACCGCGGATAATTAGTGAACATAGTCTCATAAAAAAGAAACCATCCATGCACATGGGCGAAGATAAGGGCGCTATCGTGTGCAACCATTCTCTAACGAACTACTGGATGATCGGCGTTCTGACTAATTATCAGCAATATCTAGGAAGGTGCAGATTGTTCACCATGAGATTCACAACGCCTAAAAAAGAAGCAAGGTATTATTTAAAAATTGTGACAAAATACAATACTTTTGAAAAGGAATTCCAATGACTATGGCTGATTCGGAGTCTGGAAGAAAATAAATATAAGCGAATCGAATCGGCACACTACCTTAGAGAGGCGAACAGCCGCAAAAGAAAAATCAGCTTCCTATTTACACACTTTGATTTAAACGTGGAAGCTATTGCAAGAGTCTTCGGGTCCACGTCATCTTTCAGTCAAATACGAAGGACTATTTACAGACTTCGTGATCATTCACATCAGCGTTTCCAATTCGAATATCCTGCTCTGAAGCAGTTCAGAAGACAGTTTATGAAGTTCGAGAATTGTTAACAAAATTGCTGACTGACAAGGAACACGTGTGCCCACGCAATAACTAACTTCTGTGCCTCGGAACTCGCTTACGGACCTCTTGTTCTTAGAAGAGGACTGGAAATGACAATGGCGTCTAGCAGGTGCTCATCGTCAGCTGGGCCTGACGGCTGACTTATTCAGCACTTTGTGGGCTTAATAAAATTGTTTCGCTCACTCACTCACTTGAAAACCTTGAGGAGAAAGCCCAACACGTGCTGCTAAATGTGTAAAACGAGTCTTGGAGCAATTCAGCAGTCTGAAATCTTGAGGATCGAGAGAGCCCAACACGCACTGCTAAATGTGTGCGAACATTTAGAGCAAAAGTTTAGTGCCGCTAGATTTAAATTTAGTCATGTCATCCCACTTATGAAACCCGGTGATCTCCACGCCATCTGTGACTGTCCCTACCCACTGCTGTACCCGGCTGTATTGTGAAGGTTATGGCATGAACGGTGCTAACACGCTGGAAAGGCACGACATGTTCCCAAATGCTACGGCGCGCTTACGACGTCGACGTTGCTTCACAAATAACGTTAATCACTAGTTATGTTTACCCAACAATGGATATAACTCGAATGCCTTCTAGCAGCACTGCTTCTGGATATAAAAGGTGCGAAAAACAGTGTTACGCGGGATGCAGCCATAGACTCGTTGATTGGAGGCGGAAACAGTGGCCAAGCGTGAGAGCCGATGTGTGGTTGTGTGACTTGGGAGCCTACGCGATGATATCCAGCTTTCAGGGACACTGACAGATCAGCGCTCCTAACTGCCACGACTGGAAGCTCGCGCGTTTTCAATGGGATGGGGTCATTTTCGATGATAAAAAAAATTGTAGAAAGGTCAATTCCAAAATTTTCTCAAGGGATAACATTTAGAAGCTGAACTGCACGTCACAAATGCAGCATCGTTAACGTCGAGGCTTCCAATTATGTTCCCACGACAAATAAAGTGTACGCAATGGGGTCCTATGGAAGTTACCAAAATCACAGCTTGTTTTTCGAGACAAAAAGAAAAGGCCGTATAAAAAATACTAGCCAGAAACCTGTATATTTCTTGGAAGCTTAAGTAGTACAAATACTGAGCTTTGATTTGAGCCCACATTCATGTTTTTGCGTGACAAAAAATTTGTTCCAAAATGCAGTTTTCCGCAACACAGTCGCAATGTCGACTCGAGTCTATAGGACCATTGCATATTGGTAAGCCAAATCTTATTACTACGCACTCGGCTGGCGTTATGGCCATGTTGGTTGAGCGAACAAGCTGGTAGCTCACCCGTAGGCAATTTGGCGCGGCGTGAGTTCAAATCCCCCTCCCCCTCCCCCCCCCCGAAAAAAATAATGTCACGCTTTTTTTACTTTATTTCTTTTTTAACAGAATTTCTGTCAGTGGTTACTGTGCTCAGCTGCCGATATGAAAAAAAACGGGTTTGATCATGGCCGTGGCTTTAGCGATTCGAAGTAGGCGAAAATTTTAGACTACTTAGATTTAGATGCATGTGCGCAGTGGCATAACTAGGGTGGGGCAAGTGGTGCACAAGTGCCCCAGGCGCCATTTGAACGGCGGCGCCGAGCCGAGCCCGCCCAAAATGTGCTTGGGGGCTGTGCCTGAGGACACAAGCGGAATATTTTAGTGCCCCGCGTCCCGTGAAAATGTCGCCTTTACAGGTTCAAAAGCAGTGGAGGCATGCCACCACACTTTTACAACACTTCTTTCTTCCCTTTGTTCTCCTCTGGTACCATCCGTGAGGTTAGAGCCTCTTTTTACTGATTAAATGTTGCCATTTTTTTTCTGAGAGCCTGGGGCTCCCAGGAACGTGTGGCTCACATAAGCAAAGGGCCCGCAGCTCCTGGCTGATATTTGGGCGCATGAAAATTAACAAGATAAATAAATAGAGGTAAGCGTGTTTCCACCAAGCACGATTTTGATCATGAACGTATACGTGTCCATGGTTGTAGACAAAACCTTCCTTCAGGGGTTCTGTCTGCTATTTATTTGTGGTCTGGCATCTCTTTTGTATGTGTGCGCATATATACACATGGACAAATGTAATGATATCAGCGCAGAGAGTGGTTCAACCTCCCAACCCCCTGATAGCTTTCCCACTGAACTTATCGCTTGAAATATTCCTTTTCTTCTAGTTCGGCCAAACAAGTTTGTTCTTCAACACGTATTAACCTTAGTGAAAATTGGAAAGGAAAACACTGTTCATAATCT